ACAGGGGCATTCAGGGTGAAAGAAACTTTGCCCATTTGTTTCTGCCTCGTGCGGGAATCGAACCCGCGCCACAGAATTACGAGCCCTGCGCGCTATCCACCAGGCTACGAGGCCCCACTTCTAGAGGACAGAACTTCCCAAATGAAAACTAGCAAACTAGCATGACATCACCAAGTCATGACAGGAAGGAGAGCACCCAGTCCAACGACCAATACAGCTCAGGGGGTGCATGAGCAGGCCAGAGGTGAACCAACACACAAAACAGCTTGCAAAATGGCGCAGATTTAACATTAACGCCAAACGCATGCTGCAGTGGCTCCACCAGTGCCACACGATACGAGATGACAGTACTAGGCGGTAAGATGACGGTCCTGGAACAACCACTAAAGGAAGGACAAAACCTGAACAGAAACAGAAGTACAACTACGCAGGGACAAAAATAACAGAAGGACTGCCAAGAAACTACATACTGCCACCGTGACGAAACAAGCAGGTGGGACACCGTCAACAAAGCCACCTGCTCACCACACAAGTGGTGAGAGACTCGAGTCAGCAAGACCAGACGTGAAGACTCGAGGAGAACGAACGAACCAGCCACGTAACGGACCGGTTCAATCTGCTGAAAGAGGCAGAGTCGCAGAAAGACCCCCGGGTTTCGACACTGTGCAAGCAGTGCCTGAAACCAAGGCTGGGCTGGCCACCAAGGAGCCAAGAGGTACCCTTCCCTAGAAGTTTCCAAGCGAGCAACAGCTGAACCGGGAAAAAGAGGTACAGGTAACCCCACCTTAACCAGTCCAGATGCAAGGCATCGACCCCAATGGCCTTGCAGTCAGGGAAGGGCGCCACATACAATGGGAGACGCCTCGACCATGCTGACAAAAAGATGTCCACCTCCGGGAGCCCATACGTCTGGCAAAGCCAACTGAACAAGTCAGCATCGACCGTCCATTCCGTGGACAGGGAAATGGACAGTGACAGGCCATCTGCCAGGACATTAGCAACCCCCCGAATGTGAATGGCCAGGAAAGCCAAACCCTGAGAACCTAACAGACGAGTCACCCAAAGCAACTAGCCCGATAGAGCCAAGGACCACACCAAACCCCTTCGGTTCAGGCAATAAACCTACAGGGAGCAGTCCGAATGGAACCTTATCGTCGATCAGCGTGCGACCCATACCTTCCGAAGCGACATCCACACCACCGCGAACTTCCGCACTGTACTGTGTGCCTGACGGAAGACCGGACCCCTGTCCCTGGTCGGCCTGTTGAGCACTGGTCACAAAGCCCCCAGCCAAGAGACGACGTGTCCGTGAACACATCGAGCGAGGGCTCAGGCAGGCGCCAAGGCACTGAACCCTGAAAAACCCGAAGAGGAAGCCAGCGACGCAGCAGCTGACACAAGGCATCTGAAGGACAAACCCAGCGATCGCGAGAGAAACAGAAGGGATGTCTCCAAAGGAACCAGAACAGCCGATAAATCCAAACCCAACTCGGCGGGTAGACTATCACGGCAAAGTTCAGGCTCCAGCACAAACCTTCGAGCAATTGCTGGGTGACCCGGGAGCACCCCAGAAACAGGCGAAGGTGGGACTGCAGCCGAAGCAGAGAGACTGGAGGGAGAGACAAGGAAACGATCAGAGCCCCCCACATAAGACCCAGCCAAGACCAAACCTGAAAAGGAACCAGACGGGACTTCCTGCAGGTCACCAGGAACCCAAACCCGGTGAGCTGGAAAAGAAACAAATCCCTGGCGAGCAGACACACGGACTGGCTGGTAGGCCACACTAGCCAGTTGTTGAGATATGGCAGAACCCGAACCCCTAAGAGACGCAGAAGGGCCACCACAACCCAGCAATCAACTCGCCGACCAGACAAAGACGGATCCGAAGGGTGCGCCGGCCCCGAAACAGGCACCACTGGCCTATCACGGCGGAAGGAACCCTGATCCCTGGCACGACTCTTCCGGGAAGACCCCCCACGGGCTTCCCGGAGAACCAACACCAACAATTGGAAGAATCTGGCCGCAGATACTGCCCAACCGTATAATCCGCAAAAAGGCAAAGACAAAAAGGCAACAAAAACCTAAGAGCCAGGGCCCAAGCAGAATCCAAAGAGGACGCGAGCACTGCTTGCCGATACGCGAGACGAGAAGCAAAGAACAAATACTGCAACCCGCAAGAAAGGCGCAAACAGCTTCAATAGGGCAGATGATGCATGCCCCGCTGAGACTAAGGCACCAGACCCAGGAACGGACCCAAGCACCTCCACATCCTCCTCAAGCCAATCTGAGGACAGCTCCAGGAGGGAAAAGAAATGCAAGACCGAAGCCAACAAGCCACGAGCGAGCAAATCATCAGCAACCAGCGCAGCCGAAAGAGAGGGAACCTGCACGTGAAACTGCACCATGCCAACATCTCGAGGAAGGGCAGAGGTGAACAAGCACGCTTTGAGTGTGCAAACTTGTCCCCGGTGGTCCAGGTAAACCTGAACCACCATCAGAGCCTCACGTCACTCAAGCATGCAGGACCAACAAAACATGTCCTAAGCCTCCAACAACAAAACAGGGCAATCCACAAGCCAGGACATCTCTGGAACCTCATAATGAACCCAGTAAGGAAATGAGGAACCAAACGTGAATGAAGATGAATTCATGAAAGAGACGTAATCTGGGTCGTGTAATAAAACCATCCGGAAGGATGGGACTGATGGACCCGAAGGGATGTGGAACCAAACCCAGAGAGGGGCTGACATGAAATATAACCGGTACGCAGAGGTGGTGAGGAAAACCCCACTCCCTGTAACAAGCCCTGCTTAGAGAGTACAAAAACCCAAGCGGGGTCCAACGGGGCTCAAGGTTCCCCCCCTCCCTTCAAGTCAAGTCAACCCCTCCCCAGCCCTGGGAACCCCCACAGTCTGGGCCCCGAGTCGTCTCCCAAAGCCCGGTTTCACAAGAAAAAGCTGGGGCAGAGGTAAAAACAGGAAGGAAGGGGGCTCACTGGTGAGACCAACATGCTTTGGCAGGAGGAACAGGCTCGAATGCTTCTGTTGTCGCCCTAGAAGGGGTATCCTCCCGACTGCCCGAGTCTCCACTCCATCTAAACCCTGCCCCGACTATGAAACCCTCAGACACTTCAGATCCTCAGACACAAAGGAGGGAAGGAGGGAGGGACACCAGAACAAACCACAGCAGGGAAAGGACGAGAAGGTGCAGACTGAATCAAAGTCAAAACGACCATCACCCCCAAGTCTGGGTCCCTATAACCAAAATGGGGCAGCTTCAGGGCTTCCGGGTCAGCAACCAACCCTGCTTGTTACAGCACCCTAAACCTAGCATGCAATGCCTGAACTGCCTGCACCCAAACAGTCATCAGTGGACTGGGTGTACCGAGTCACAAACAAGCAACAAAACTTGCAGGACTCTGGGTCGAAGATGTCACTGACTCAACTGACAGCATGACAGAGGCAGAAGTTGTGAATGTCACCCCTGAGACAAGGGAACACAGCAACCTTCAAACTCGCACGAAGCGAGGGGAACCCAGGGGTCGTATCCATAGGACCACAGAACCTCCGTGGGGTTTCCCAGGGCCCTTAGTCATGGTATTTCGCTAAGGGAAGTCCAGGCTTACTGCTGACTGACTGTCCAAAACTACCAAGCAAACTGCTAAAGCTGAACCCCGGGGCGTGTACACTCACAGGGGCCTAGCGGAAGACATCCAAAGGGCAATAGGGTATGACCAACCAAAGGCAGACCGCCCACCAGGCAGGAAAAACAAAAACAAAAAGAAAACCCCACAAGAGGACAACTTATCCAGGCGGAACAGAGCCAGCCGCCATGAGAGATGACAACTAGCTGCACAGCACCACGCACCCCAACCAGTGACAAAAACTACTCCCCTACCTAGAGGCAAACAGGGGAGCACAAACACCCCAGCTGACTCCAAGGGCGGTCAATCACTGAGCAGCAAAAGACACAGCAGAGGAAGATCCAAAGGCGACTTGTGGAAAGTGGCCCAAAGCCCCAAGGGCAGTATTTACAGGGCACCTAGGGAAGGTGACCCTAGGCGCTTGCAGCCCGAGTACTGTACCAGTTAAATTACTCCTGGCTTGCGCACCACTAAGGACACAGCACCACATCACAAGGCACAGAGCTGGAGACAGGAAAACAGGAGCCAGACACACAACTGTTGCCAATCACATCAGCTAAAGAACTATAGGGTGGATAGCCGTCGTGAGTCTGGGGCTCCGCTTTCCCCCTCCCGGGAGGGATGTTGCGTAAACAAGCTGTGTGGTGACGTCATGCTTGTTTGCCAGTTTTCATTTGAGGAGTTCTGTCGTCTAGTTAGGCTTTTGATAGTAATATTTTAACCAGAATAGGGGTTTGTTTTGGGGCGCTTACCTTTCTGGGTGCCTGACCTGGTTGATTGCAGACATAGAATGTTTCCAACCACACAGAGGTTCCTATAGGCCATTGCTCCTAGTGCCTCTTTAAGGGGGCCAGGTTCTGGCTCGTGGTCCCTGGTAGGCCTAGAACTCCATTCATATTGTCAGATGATAGTCTAATATATCCATATCAGCCCAAATAGCTCCGGGGAACTGAAGCCCCCCCCCCCCCAGAAAAAATAGGATGATAGAGTAGTACTTTATAAACTACTATTTATATAATGTATGTAAAATAACTTGTATAGCTTTTTATATTTATCTTTAAATAAATGCAGATATAGTACATATAACCTAGTTTAAGTAAATCTGTTTCAGAATCTTATACAAAAAATTAATTGCATGCAACTTGTACATAAACACCTCCATGTACATAAACACATGGGGATATACCTCCATGCACTGTAACTAGACAATCTTTGCCCCTGCTAGGGGGCCCCTAGTTCATAAAATACGTTATGATGTCATAACGGCTTTATCCTTTGCCGTTCGTTAAAACCTGTGTGCGCCACTCATGTTACAAAATTTATACTGACAACAAATTTGCATAATGAAAGTTACATATCCCATAACAATCAAATTTATTCACTATTACCAGCATTGTTAAACTTAAAAGTTGATATATATTAACATGTGCAAGTTGTACCTCTTCAAAATGTATAAATTACATAGCTTACGTATTATAAACATACAAACAGATGACAGTGGGTTAAGTAATTATCAAAAGAAGGCACCAAGTTGGGAAGACTAGCAAAGGTGTGTGGCAGGAGAGTCAAAGATGGCACTCACTAGCAAACACTTGCCACAATTTGCATCCATACAGTATATTATAAGGAATGCACAACATGATAAACTATAATAGTTAGTAATCATTATTCCTTTGCTGAAAACTTGCTTTACTTGCTCATGCAACAGAAAAGGAATTTTTTTTTAATAATTTTGAAAAAATGTAATTAAAACAGATGTATACACTTGATAACATAGTAAGGTACACACACATACAAGACTAACGCCACTGAGACTGCATGAATAAGTTCATCTATGGCATTTATTGTGGTCAAAGTGAAAAAATATTTAATGACCTTATTTTCTCAATATTTTTTATTTTTTATTTCAAGTGAAAGGTCTGAATACTGCTTCGAATCCATTTTTCAACTATAATTATTAACTGAAGGAATAATACAAAAGTCACTTATGAATGATGTGGCTCAGTTCAACAAATTGACCAATTTAATAATATCAAGATAAACAGGTTTCCATGATGTCATTATGGAGTCATGGGGAAGTGTGTGTTTTGAGACCTCCTCACTTCTCCACCAGTACAATATTTAGGACAATTATGAGGTAACTGTTTATATAAATGAACATCTAATGCATGTAAATACCAGGTCAGTGTGGATTTGATACAAATAATAAGTTGGCCTAATTATCTATATAAATAATAGCATGAACATGTCATGCTATATAGACATATAGCATGAAAAAAAAATATTTTTTTATAGTTTTGGATTAAAAATAAATTAAAGAGACAATTCATATGAGTAAGAGTATTTAAAGGGGTTGAATGGGAAGATTCATCACAGTGCTTGTTACAAACAGCCAAAGTAATAGGTATAATGCCACCAAAAATTTGGCTTAAAAAAAAACAATTTGTTGTTGACCAGACCACACACTAGAAGGTGAAGGGACGACGACGTTTCGACTTGAGAATGGTCCAGGACGGACCGAAACGTCGTCGTCCCTTCACCTTCTAGTGTGTGGTCTGGTCAAAATACTTCAGCCACGTTATTGTGACTCATCGCCTGCATAATTTGTTGTTATCCAGGACTCATTAATCATTGCATGTGATTAAATAGTATATATTACAATATTCCATTCACCCTTGGAAGCTCTTGTATTGATGTTTGTAACTTGCTGGACAGAACTTTAATGCCTATTAACATTACTTCATTACCAATTTGCTATTTTTACCCACAGTTAAATCAGTTCTAAATTATCTGATGGAATTAATTCACCTGACACATATCACATGAAAATGAAGTAATGTCAAAAGGAATAAGTTGAAGTAGGTGTCACAAAATCTTGTCAACTGCATCATCCTACAGTCTTGCTTAGCATAATTCATTCAATATATGAAGACAAGTGTGAGTGAGCCATTAAGCACACCAGTAAATGTTCTGGTGAAGATTCTGTGTGTACTTGTAAGTATTTACAGCTACAACTAAATTATCATTAAAAGCAGCCAAACATGCACCATCTCTTCAACACTACAGCCAATTAAACCTTGAATTATTAGGGAGTAACATCTAAAGTTATCTAAAATGTTCCTGCATTTAACATACTGAAATATTGGTGCCACCAATATATAATAAATTTACTAATGGTGCCTGAAGAAGAAGAAGTTGAAAAACCATTACAAGAGCTATTAACTTAGTCATCAAAGTACAATACAGTTTACCTGGCCATCTATAATTTTCATGCACAAATTTGCACGATTAAAAAAAGTCCTCTTGTGTAAATAACAACACATCCTGCAGACATATTATTAGAAAAAGAGTTAACTATGGAAGACTTGGCCCAGAGCAAGTCAAACCAATACTGGAGTAAGTCCTTCATAATACTGTAATAGTACATGCACAAACCTCATACTCTGCTCTGTGCAGGTGTGTATGTACATGCACAAACCTCATACTCTGCTCTGTGCAGGTGTGTATGTACATGCACAAACCTCATACTCTGCTCTGTGCAGGTGTGTATGTACATGCACAAACCTCATACTCTGCTCTGTGCAGGTGTGTATGTACATGCACAAACCTCATACTCTGCTCTGTGCAGGTGTGTATGTACATGCACAAACCTCATACTCTGCTCTGTGCAGGTGTGTATGTACATGCACAAACCTCATACTCTGCTCTGTGCAGGTGTGTATGTACATGCACAAACTTCATATTCTGCTCTGCAGGTGTGTATGTACATGCACAAACCTCATACTCTGCTCTGTGCAGGTGTGTATGTACATGCACAAACTTCATATTCTGCTCTGCAGGTGTGTATGTACATGCACAAACCTCATACTCTGCTCTGCAGGTGTGTATGTACATGCACAAACCTCATACTCTGCTCTGTGCAGGTGTGTATGTACATGCACAAACCACATACTCTGCTCTGTGCAGGTGTGTATGTACATGCACAAACCACATACTCTGCTCTGTGCAAGTGTGTATGTACATGCACAAACCACATACTCTGCTCTGTGCAAGTGTGTATGTACATGCACAAACCTCATACTCTGCTCTGCAGGTGTGTATGTACATGCACAAACCTCATACTCTGCTCTGTGGAATATCCTGAATAGTAATATGCAACATTTATCTGCATTTCAATTTATAACTTTATACTGTCTACCAATAAGGAACAATATACTTAGTTACAATATACAGTACTAAAAAAATAATTAAATCCTAGTAGAATAACTGTAAAAAGAATTCTACATAATACAGTATTCAAATATAATATGAATTCACTATTTACAAAAAGCTATAGGAAGTATGATTTATAGCAATACTGTATAGTATATTCTCTAATCAATAATATCTCTATCTCTCCCCCCCCCCTTCATTAAAGAAGTTGTTCACAACCTCACGACAACTGTTCATGACCTTTGTGAGAACAAAGTCAGAATATGCATCAGTTGCATGGTGCCCATATCTTACAAAGCACATAAACTGAAAAAGATGCAAAGGCATGCAGCTAAATGGTTTTGGAACTGAAAGACGAGCTATGCCAGAGGTTAGAGACATTAAATATGCCAAAGATAGAAGACAGAAGAGAAAGGCGATATGATCATACAAATTAGCAACAGGAATTGAAAAATTGATGAAGAATCCTTGAGACCTGCAACTTCAAGAAAATGAGGTCACAGATTTAAGCTAAATAACAAACCTGCTAAAAAAATTAAACAATTCACTTTTGCAAACAGAGTGGTAGACGGTTGGAGCAAGCTAAGTGTGGTGGAGGCCAAAACCATAAGTAATTTCAGTGTTATGTGACAGAGCTGGGAAGACGAGACACGACGAGTCAAGCTCATCCTGTAACTACACTTAAGTAATTACACATGCACACACACTCAAAAATTCCTAAGCAGTTGTCAGTGTCAAACTATGTTGTGATAAAAATTGGCTAAGAGTTTGTGGTGTATTCCTATGAAACTACATTAATTTAATGTTAATTAATAAATTACTACCTTAATTTTTCTTAATTTTTACATGTATATACATATATGTACCTGTATTACTCATTATTCATCAGTGTAACAAAATACTCTATCAAATATACTTCAAATGCATTTGTAAAATTTATAATTACAGTAGTTAAAATATTTCTCCAGTATATCTATCTGGATGCGAAATATGCAATAAAAATGAACCAAAGCGACTTCATCGCTTTTGCGATTCATATTCTTGCCAGTATTCTTGGGTCATCATCTGCGAGAGGCGAGATATAGTGCGGTCAAAGGCAAACATCTCTTCTTCACCTGTGAATATATTTAAAGCTTTTGTACTCTGGCTTTTCTCCTGGAGTCCCAAGTCATCCATGAGCATAAGGCTTTCTTTGTCTACAAATTCTGAATGGCCCTCATCTCCCCTGAAGATGTGTGTGTGTGCAACATCACAGGTACATACAATCCGTGCCTGCAAATAATTTTGACAATAAATACAATTGTAGGTCCTTCACTTCATTGCCTCCCAAACTGATGAAATTGGGAAACAGGATAATGATTGTATGTACATAATTGCCCAGCTGATCTGTTGGCCATTAAAATGTTTCCTGGATACAAGCAAAGAAGAGGATCCCATTTCTCTGAGAAAAGTATAAAGGTAGGTCCTCTTTTTTCCTAGACAGAAATAACACTGGAACAGTTTTTTGTCAATGGGTAGAAACTATTATTTTCTAATTGCTAAAGCATACAAAGGCTAGAAAACCAGTATTGAATGTAATGAACAGCCAATTTCTGGGTGAGCCCCAGTGGCTCCATGAAGCTACTTTATGATAATGTGGTGCCATCTACCAAGTTGCATCGGTTGTGGCGTTCTATAGGCCTACCGGGGACCAGCACTAAAATCTGGCTCCCTCATAAAGGTGCAGGAAGCAGTGATAGTTATTTTCACCATCACACTGGAGAAGCAACCAGAAAGTCAGCGAGTCGAAACAAACCACTGCTGGCTTCAATAGACACAGAAGCCTCGAAACCCTGCAAAAGAATTCTCTAACTATGGAAACAAATGATCAAATTCTCTTGCAACTAGCGTGAGCTTGTTTGCCCCACCTTCCCTATTCATTTGGGGGAAGTGGAAGGGAGGTAGACCACTGCCAGCCCAATGTTGGGAGAGGGTTTCCCAACATCAAGAAACTGGTAAAATTAAAGTGTCCTCTCCTAACCTACCAGAGGACCCAAAACAGAAAACGGGACAGTACGTCACTTTTGCGAGCCACTTCCATCTTCTAGTATGACAATTTTGGCCTTATGTAACTCATATGAGCAAAATACGATGTTCTTTGTAACAGGACAGGTTGGCCAGCCAGCCTCCCCAAGATCAGTTCTAGGGGGGAAAATTTAGGCAACAACCCAATGTTCTGGATAAAAGGGATGGGATCAGGGAGCCACTGGAGCTCACCCAGAAACTGGCCTTTCATTACATGCAACGCTGGTTTTCTGGGAAGAGCCCCTTTATGGCTCCCTAAAGTTAACTACCCCATGGAGAGGGAAAACATACAGGAACTCACCAGGAAGGAGGAAGCATCACAGGAGTCAAGACGAAGAGGAGAAACCCACTCAAGAGACACGGCCCAAGCCACACAAGTGCCCCAAGGCCTGGGAACATTAACCAGATGCTGGGCCCCCAGAAACCTGTTCGGCTTACAAAACTTCAACCCCCAAATATCGCTTGCAAACACTTCTGACAGAGCAGCAAACTTCTAAACATTATTAGACTGCAAGCTGGCTAGAATTAATAACACTATAGATGACCTGAGAAAGATGAGTCTTGATACAGGAGGCCAAGAAAAAAGAATCGACCCACAAAGCATCCACTGAAGCAGAATCAGTGGCCCAAAGATAGCAGTGGAGAGTCTCCACCAGACACAGCACATGATGCACTGCCAACCGAACCAACCCAAGCATCAATGACCAAAGGACCTATCCGGAAACTAAATCATTAATTTTTTGCCTGATAAGGAGGAATAAACTACAAATGAACAAAATGGCCACCAGGGCCAAAAGAACAAAAACCCCTGCCTCTGGAGGAGAGCATGAAACCTCTCGTCTGGAGGCTAATCAGAAGAGCCGATTGGTTGAAGTGGGCTGCACTAAACCTCCCATTTCACCCCCATCCCCTCACCAAAGAAGTGTATTGCCCTCTAGGGGCTGCAGCCGCTGGGTAAGTTCAAATCCCCAGATGAAGGAACATATGGGTCTCCATACACAGCAAACATATGGGGGCATATTTCACTTGTGCACTCTCACAAGCTCTATTTGTTTTAATTTTATAGTTACTAATCAGTTGTAATTTAACACCTAGTAATATTGTAGTGAATGTCTACCAATCAATAAATGCCCGAAATGCTATGCATACTAGTGGCTTTAGGTATTGTATGTACTAGCTCTATCTATTAATCCAACATTATGTTTGTAACTAATCCTCTATGTACAGTATGTACTTTTACCTGAATAAACATTTGATTTTCATTTGATTTGATTTGATTTGAATAATTTCAATTGATAGATTATACAGTGGTACCTTTGTTCACAATCGTAATCCGTTTCCAGAGACATGTCGTCATCCAAAAATTCATTAACCAAAATGAATTTTCCTATAAGAAATAATGTAAATTGAATTAATCCATTTCACACCCCCAAAAATATTTACTTAAAAATACATTTTATACAGAATATTACTCATATTTTTCATACACAAAACAATCAGGTATACATATAAACCATAAATAAAATAAGTGAACATTTAACTGCACTTTACCCTTACTGAGGACCCTTGTTGGTGTATGGGAGATGTCGAGGGAGAGAGGGAGGGAGGAGCGGTGTTGGTGTATGGGGAGGGTGTAGAGGAGGGAGGAGGAGGTGGTAAGATCATCTCCTGTTCGTCTTAAACACTTTCGTATCTGCATCACTGGTTCCAGATTTTCCTTTCACACATTTCACTGCCTCTTATGTGGCAGCCAGTCAGAACCAGTCACTTAGTCACAAGTCAGTCAAGCATTCACAGTCAAGACCAGTCACAGGTGGTCATAACCAAAGACAGTCAAGCATTCACAACTGTGGGAGAAACCAGTTAGGGATTTAATCATTCAGTCATTTACAGCCATTTACAGTCAATCAGGTTTTCACAGTCAGTAAACAACAAGAGTTCAATGTCATGCAGTGTGCCTCATGATCCACCAGCTGGTAGCAACGAAGCACGTATTAATACCGTTCCGATGTGGCTGGGAGGGTACACCTGAGGGGGTCCAGTGTGGGGGATGGAGGTAGTGGGGAGGGTCCAGTGGCGGTATGGGGGTAGCGGGGATGGTGCAGTGTGGGGGATGGAGGTAGTGGGGAGGGTCCAGTGGAGGTATGGGGGTAGCGGGGATGGTGCAGTGTGGGGGATGGAGGTAGTGGGGAGGGTCCAGTGGCGGTATGGGGGTAGCGGGGATGGTGCAGTGTGGGGGATGGAGGTAGTGGGGAGGGTCCAGTGGCATGATGGGGGTATGGGTGTAGCGGGGAGGGTGCTGTGTGGGGGACGGAGGATCACCCCACCATCCATCCAGTCCCCCACCACCATCCATCCAATCCCCTCACCATCCATCCATCCAGTCCCCCACCCTTCATCCATCCAGTCCCTCCCACCATCCATCCAGTTTCCCCATCATCCATCCAGTCCCCATCCACTATCCATCCAGTCCCCCCCTCCATCATCCATCAATCCACCCCCACTATCCACCCATCCAGTTCCTCCCTCCCTCCATCCATCCATCCAGTCCCCTCACCATCCATCCCCTCACCATCCTGGGACCCATGTCATAATATATAATAAGAAGTTTACTCTTCAGAAAACAAAAAAAAAAATGGAAAAATAATGAAATTCTTTACAAAGAATTCAAGATCGGTCGTCACTATGCGGGATAGACTTGTAAACAAACTGAGAGCGCCTCGCCACCGTGCCCCCAGCATCACATTCTCATTCAACCCATACATGTACGAAGACATCGTCATCCAAGTAAACCATCGTGTATCAATTCAAATTTTACGACGAATTTGACGTCGTAATCCAAAACATTTGTCTTCTAGAGCAGTCGTCAACCAAGGTCCCACTGTATATATAAATAACAAACCCCCTCCCCCAGAATGTGTTGGAAATGATTTGTGGGAATAAAATCATACAGTCCACTTTAAGCATCATACAGTCTGCTATTGACATAAATAAATTACCACAAGAAATAAACTACTACATAAATATAAATTAATAAATTGTAAATAAATCAATAAATCCCACAAGTCAGTTTTTCCCCACAACAATATTTTTAGATAAAAACATGATTACTTGCTTTACCTTGTTGTCATAAAATGTATCAATGAGTGTGATGAATCGTCTAGCCTGGCTCTTGGACCTCTGATTCAAGACGGGAATATCTCTGATGAAGATGGTGTGGAACACGTGGCACAGCTGGATGTAATCACAGGCACCAAGGGGCTAGAAAATAGAGAAAATTTCCTTTATCCTCCATTAATAAGTACAGTATACAGTATGCATATATAAAGGAAAATTAAATACAGGTTGTCTTATCTGTCATTAACACTTTGAGGTTCCACAGACTGATTATCTCGTCACTCATTTTTCTACTGAATGTGTTCCAACGACGCAATACTGAGTCACTCATTAAAATATTTTTTAAAAATTTAAATTTTATCAGATCAATCTGGTAGTGGTTTTAAAATAAGCGCCTTTAGATTGCACACAGTTTGATACCAAAATCAAAGATATAACATGAAACTTGATGTCCAAACACTTGAAATATTACAAATAGGCCTATAGTCCGAATATTAAAATAATTGTTAAAATTCTATTTATTGTCCTATTATCTTGGGACTAGTTTTAAAATGTGCGCCGTTTTATTGCGAACACTTTGATACCAAAATGAAAGATGTAACACAAATATTTATGTCAGAACACTGGAAAGATATAAATAAATTTGTGATGATGAGCATCCAGAATTAAAATATTTGTTAAAAATCCAGTTATTGCTCTATTATTCTGGGACTAGTTTTAAAATACTCGCCTTTTTATTGCGAACAATTTGATACCAAAACGAGCGACGTAGCACGAAATTTGATGTTATCAAATTGAACGAGTTGAACATTAGGTTGCAATGTACAAAATGGTGCTCGTTCATGGGTAACTTTAGGCTTTTCTGCGGGGAGGCACTCCAGCCTTTTGTACATTTTATTCATACACATCTGTAGGGAATTTAATTGCGAACACAATGATACCAAAATGAGCGACGTAGCACAAGAATTAAGGTAAAAAAATGGAACGAGAATGCACATGTTACTGATTTTGTGCGTTTTTGCCGACTTTACGCTTTGCTGTTGGGAGTCACGCTAGGCTTTTGGACATTATATTTATACACACCTGTAGAGAATTTAATTGCGAACACAATGATACCAGAACGAGCGACGTAGCGCGAGAATTAAGGTGAGAAAACTGGAACGAGTATACACATTTGAGTGTCACCGCGCGCTTACCCGCACGGAGGGGCCACGATCCCCCTGTCAACCGCGAGTTTCCACGGAGCGCGAAAGTGTTAAACCTGTTTAATTATATAATTTTTTTTAATAACTGGCTATTAATACAATTATCACACACACAATGCCAAGTGCATGATGCAGCACACACAAGAGGTTAGAGGCATTAAATATGCCAAAACTAGAAGATAGAAGAAAAAGAGGTGATACGATCACTACGTACAAATTAACCACCATGCTGCTCGGCCTTAAAATATGACATTCCCATGGTGCCCCGAAAACAAATTCTTTGCAAAAAATTATTTTCTCTTCTTGTATTGTTAAAATGCAGTCTCTGATCACAGAAAACTAAAAAAAAAAATACTGTATGTGACATACTTTAGCCGTGATAGAGATGAGAAGTTGAGCAAATTATGGGCACTGAGTGATGAAGCACTCTGGGACATGCGACCCCGCCACTCGGTGGGGCAGCAGTTGCCGCGAATATAATTTTTCTTAATTACTGTATTTTTATCTCATTCGTTTCTTCTCTGTTTTTTTGGTGTAATATTATTCAATTTGTGGTATTTTTTATAGTTCAATGTATGGAACATCACAATGCTAAAAATTATGGGGCTCACGTATGTGACATGTATATTATATTCTATGATCAATCACACAGTGTTTTTGCTGTTGTTACACTATATACACACACACACACGTTGTATATAACGACCTACATGTTTGTACACCGTAATGAACCACAAAGATCATGGGTTGAGTTTATATACACAGAACAACAATCCAAGGTCAGCCTAGCGGCCGACAGGGAGTGTGGCAGGGGCTGCCCCAAATACATTTTTACATAATTATTTCAGTGTCTGTGAATGGTTTTATATCTAGTTTTGCACTAATATTATTCAGTAGGGTATAATATATGGAATGTATATAGTTAAATGTGTGGAACTTCACAATTCTCAAAAATATGGAGCTCTTATATATTCACACATATATTCTTTGATCAACCAGTGTTCCTGTTGTTAATTCGCTATATATGCACGTTATATATATCACTAATCAACATTTATATGCACCATAACATATTAATAAGCAGTTCTGGTGAGTACGGTGATGAAATCAAAACACAGCATGGAGCCACAAGCAGACGACACCAGCAGTACCAAGATGCAAGACAAGGCCTCCAATATTCTACTCATCTCGCTATGACTGGCTACAAAACTGCCGTTATGATCACATTCCTGTCACAAAATCCCAAATATGAATCCATGTCCATAACAAAATGAACATTAGTGAAGGAACATAAGGTCATTTCATGATGCGTATTTGCAGGAAACAATGGCTGGCTGCTGTGTCTGTACCTCATGCTGTCAATATCATAACTAGCATTGTATTCACTGATACCTGAACATTGTACATAGTCTTTAGCACAGTTAGGGGTCATCTATGACACACTATCAATGCAAAATAATTTCAGTTACCTAATTTATTCCTCATTACTAAGTGTTGCTGTGACCCATAGTTGCACAGTGGTGGTGTGACCCATAGTTGCACAGTGGTGCTGTGTCCCATAGTTGCACAGTGGTGCTGTGTCCCATAGTTGCACAGTGGTGCTGTGTCCCACAGTTGCACAGTGGTGGTGTGACCCATAGTTGCACAGTGGTGCTGTGTCCCATAGTTGCACAGTGGTGCTGTGTCCCATAGTTGCACAGTGGTGCTGTGTCCCACAGTTGCACAGTGGTGCTGTGTCCCATAGTTGCACAGTGGTGCTGTGTCCCACAGTTGCACAGTGGTGGTGTGACCCATAGTTGCACAGTGGTGCTGTGTCCCATAGTTGCACAGTGGTGGTGTGACCCATAGTTGCACAGTGGTGCTGTGTCCCATAGTTGCACAGTGGTGCTGTGTCCCATAGTTGCACAGTGGTGGTGTGACCCATAGTTGCACAGTGGTGCTGTGTCCCATAGTTGCACAGTGGTGGTGTGACCCATAGTTGCACAGTGGTGCTGTGTCCCATAGTTGCACAGTGGTGGTGTGACCCATAGTTGCACAGTGGTGCTGTGTCCCACAGTTGCACAGTGGTGCTGTGTCCCATAGTTGCACAGTGGTGCTGTGTCCCACAGTTGCACAGTGGTGGTGTGACCCATAGTTGCACAGTGGTGCTGTGTCCCATAGTTGCACAGTGGTGGTGTGACCCATAGTTGCACAGTGGTGCTGTGTCCCATAGTTGCACAGTGGTGCTGTGTCCCATAGTTGCACAGTGGTGGTGTGACCCATAGTTGCACAGTGGTGCTGTGTCCCATAGTTGCACAGTGGTGCTGTGTCCCATAGTTGCACAGTGGTGGTGTGACCCATAGTTGCACAGTGGTGCTGTGACCCATAGTTGCACAGTGGTGCTGTGACCCACAGTTGCACAGTGGTGCTGTGACCCACAGTTGCACAGTGGTGCTGTGACCCACAGTTGCACAGTGGTGCTGTGACCCACAGTTGCACAGTGGTGCTGTGTCCCACAGTTGCACAGTGGTGCTGTGTCCCACAGTTGCACAGTGGTGCTGTGACCCATAGTTGCACAGTGGTGCTGTGACCCACAGTTGCACAGTGGTGCTGTGACCCACAGTTGCACAGTGGTGCTGTGACCCACAGTTGCACAGTGGTGCTGTGACCCACAGTTGCACAGTGGTGCTGTGACCCACAGTTGCACAGTGGTGCTGTGACCCACAGTTGCACAGTGGTGGTGTGTCCCATAGTTGCACAGTGGTGCTGTGTCCCACAGTTGCACAGTGGTGCTGTGTCCCACAGTTGCACAGTGGTGCTGTGACCCATAGTTGCACAGTGGTGCTGTGACCCATAGTTGCACAGTGGTGCTGTGACCCATAGTTGCACAGTGGTGCTGTGACCCATAGTTGCACAGTGGTGGTGTGACCCATAGTTGCACAGTGGTGCTGTGACCCACAGTTGCACAGTGGTGCTGTGTCCCACAGTTGCACAGTGGTGCTGTGACCCACAGTTGCACAGTGGTGCTGTGTCCCATAGTTGCACAGTGGTGGTGTGTCCCACAGTTGCACAGTGGTGCTGTGACCCATAGTTGCACAGTGGTGCTGTGACCCACAGTTGCACAGTGGTGCTGTGACCCACAGTTGCACAGTGGTGGTGTGTCCCATAGTTGCACAGTGGTGCTGTGTCCCACAGTTGCACAGTGGTGCTGTGTCCCACAGTTGCACAGTGGTGCTGTGACCCATAGTTGCACAGTGGTGCTGTGACCCATAGTTGCACAGTGGTGCTGTGTCCCACAGTTGCACAGTGGTGCTGTGACCCACAGTTGCACAGTGGTGCTGTGACCCATAGTTGCACAGTGGTGCTGTGTCCCACAGTTGCACAGTGGTGGTGTGTCCCACAGTTGCACAGTGGTGCTGTGACCCACAGTTGCACAGTGGTGCTGTGTCCCACAGTTGCACAGTGGTGCTGTGTCCCACAGTTGCACAGTGGTGCTGTGACCCATAGTTGCACAGTGGTGCTGTGACCCACAGTTGCACAGTGGTGCTGTGTCCCACAGTTGCACAGTGGTGGTGTGTCCCATAGTTGCACAGTGGTGCTGTGACCCACAGTTGCACAGTGGTGGTGTGTCCCATAGTTGCACAGTGGTGCTGTGACCCACAGTTGCACAGTGGTGCTGTGACCCACAGTTGCACAGTGGTGGTGTGACCCATAGTTGCACAGTGGTGGTGTGTCCCATAGTTGCACAGTGGTGCTGTGTCCCACAGTTGCACAGTGGTGGTGTGACCCATAGTTGCACAGTGGTGCTGTGACCCACAGTTGCACAGTGGTGGTGTGACCCATAGTTGCACAGTGGTGGTGTGTCCCATAGTTGCACAGTGGTGCTGTGACCCAGAACTGCACAGTGGTGCTGTGACCCATAGTTGCACAGTGGTGCTGTGACCCATAGTTGCACAGTGG